TGGCTGCCTGGCTGTGCTCCCTCCCAGCTCCTGCACACCTGCTCATCAGCCAAACATGGGAAGCTGGAAAAGGTCCTTGATTTCATAGCAACAACTGGAAACACCGGTGTATTACCAACATTCTTCTCATACTAGATCCAAAACACAGCAGCTACTAGGAAGAAAATAAACCTTATCCCAGCTGAAACCCGGACAATCTTTCAGCAATTAATAACTGACACAAGCACGTTTTTAACAGAACACAGATAACAGAGTGGACAATTTACACAGAGAACCTTCTGAAGCATTAGTTTGGTGTCATCCCTTTTTGAGCACCCCATCATCTCTTGCACGCTGGTGACCAAGCTGCAAAGAGCATTTCTGTCCCTGAGCGCTGGTTGTGTGGCGACCCTCCATGGCTGCCCCAGGCCAAGGCTGCACGTTTTCTGCACCCTGAGCACCCAGACCCTCTCTGAGGTGAGCTCGGGAAGGGATGAGGCCATTCAGCACCATGGCTGAAGGGAAAAGAAAGGAGGGTCTGACCGCGTGCGGCAAGGGTGAGAGTGATAGCTCTGGAGGAGAGGTGGGCTGAGCTACACCAGCTGCGGACACACCACCTACTCAGAAACCAGGCTGGGCTAAAATGAGTATTTCTGTCTGTCCCATGAGGGAACAGTAGCTCCTGTCAACGGTGTGTGAGTCGTTCACCAACTCTGTGTACTGTCCTGCAAACATGTTTCTTTAGTTTGTTTCCTCAGTGGCGTGGCCTGTGTGAGGTGCGGCAGTTCTGATAATGTTGGGAAGACCAAACACAAGGCTTCAGCAGATCATGGAATCTCAGAATCACAGAATCATTAAGGTTGGAGAAGACCTCTAAGATCATCAAGTTCAAACCCCAACCCAACACCCCCACGCCTGCTAAAACATGTCCTGAAGTGCCACATCTACGCGTTTTTTGAACCCCCTCCAGGGATGGGGACTCCCCCACTGCCCTGGGCAACCTGGTCCAATGCCTGGCCACTCTTTCTGTAAAGATGTTAGCAATGCTCAGGATGGAGGCTCTTATAGTTGGGCTGGGGACTTAGGAAAGGCGTGGCAGCTGTATTTCCCCTGAAGGATGCATGGATGCTGGTGGATGAAGTGACTTGAGGTGCTCAGACCTGGCTGGCCCTGTGGTTCTCATCGGGACTCCTTGCAGGTGGTCCTTAGGCAGCGCCACCCTGCCAGGCATGGTGGTGGGCTCCATCCCACTGGCCAGCGGTGCGGGCAGGGATGGGGAGGGTGGGCAGGCAGCGTGCAGGGTTCCTGGCTGGAGCCGCAGCAGGGAGACCCCAAACTCCCACCCTTGCACATGTAAGGTGGTTTCCTGCCCCCAGCCCACATCCCAAAATATGGCTGCTGGGCTCACTTTTATCTGCTGGGATGGCTTGCCTGGAAGAAAGGCCAGTAGAGTTGGCCTGTTGAGTATGCACGCCGTAGTTCTGGAGAAGACACGTCGTGACAGTACTTCCTGGTTTGAGACTACTTTGCCTGGGATTTGCAAACTGTCCTCCTCAGAAAGCACGGACCTGCTCTCCGTGGTCTTCATCATGGGAATCCTCCTCCTCGAGGGACATCTTTGAAAGGCACTGTGGGCAGAAAGTGGTCCTCTGGGGATGACGGAGTCGCCTGCCCCGGCCCCCTCCTCTGTGGCCCCTCGTTTCGTGGGGGGTCGCTGGGTGAGACGGGAACTGGAAGCAAATGATGCCTTGGGGCTGCAAGGAGGGAGAGAGAAAGACCACCATGGGGGCTTGGGGTGCCCTGCCTGCCCTGTGCTCGGGCGGGATGCCCCGCAGTGCAGCGCATCGTTGCCAGACCGTTGCAGAAATCAGCCCCGTGAGGTGCCTGCGGGCAGCTTCGGCACTGAACTCTGCCGTACGCTGGACTAGATGGTGGGTTTTCCAGCAGCGTGTGCTCCAGCAGTGCGTTGATCAAGTGCACTGCTGACACGGAAAGGCTGAGAAATGAAACCTGGGAGACGGAGAGGGAAAATGCTGCCGTAAGACGACATTGACGGAGGCTGTGAGACGGGATGGCGTGAGCTGACTTGTTCAGGAAACCCTCGATCAAACACCCTGAGAGTGTGGCCGCCAAGAAGACAGACAGCGCGGTGGGCACTGAGTCTGCTTAGCGTCCGTGCCCGAAGGTTGGGCTGTGGAGGCGTTGTCGTGAGGCAGCTCGGATCTGCAGACCGAAGGCTTTGTTTGCTAACGGACAAACCGGGAGAACGTCGCGGGCTGCGGGAGCTGGGGAGCGCGTGCTGACGCCGAGACACTGGAGCAAATGCTCTGGTCCACACTGGCACCACAGGCAGCGGGGTGGCCTCAGCGCCTGGGAAGGAGACAGCGAGGGAGGAAACGGCACCGGGAAGAGGAAAGAGGGAAAAGAGGAAACGGAAACAGGCAGGGGGGTGGTTTTTGGAAGAAAGCCCCTCTGAGCCGGGAGGGGTGGTCCATGGAGCTCACAGCGGTGGAGTGCTGGGGCACCCATCACCCTCGGCTCCCCGCGGCTGA